CGTTGCCGGCGGGCACGCACAAATATGCACAAACAGCTCAAAAACAGTTGTTGTGGTCATCCTAACCTCTCTGGCGGAACACCACCTGGTGACGCAGGTCACCGTTTTGGTGACAGACCGTCGCCGGGTTTGTAGGGGTACCCGTTTCGGTGAGATTGGATATAGAACGACCACCAAAACAGCGAATCTTTTTTTACAGTGTAGCATGTACAGGGCCTGAGCCACAGACACGGAAACGTGAAAAATATGGTCAAAAAATGAGTTTTTTTTTGCTTCTCAAAAAAACATATTTAGGATTGTGTTTCCGACATGTCCATGGTTCACACGATAGCCACATGTGTCCTGATGAGAAATTTTGAAACCCCATGTCTTAGGCTCAATCGAGGGCTTCACAAAGTTGGGCAAAGTGTAGCCTTGTCACCGAAAAATGAAAATGGCGCCCAACCCCCCTTTCCGTCGCCGCCTCTGGCTGCTGTGTACTTTTTTGGTTAAATTGACATATTTTATAGTTCAGGATGAAATTTCAACCCATTACCTTCGTTACTTTACTCAGAATAACGCTTTTACGAAGCCTCTGCATTTTCACTGGTGTGCCCCCTTAAATAACTACGTAAGCAAAGGACAAAATGATGGAGAGAAAAAAATCAATACGAGCCTGAGAGTGCATTAGTTTTAGAATTTACAATGCCAATGACTTCGTTTTCTTCGTATTACGGAGGGATGCTTTGCAGCCTTTTTTCTGAGTGTATCGCGATGCCAGTATTACACACATTGCGGACGGGCATGCACCTGGAGTAGTCTCGCTGGATCGCCCTGACGAGGGTCTGCGTGCGTGCTATGATTTCGTGGAAGTTGTTGGAGCGCTCGCCGCCCGGCAGCAGGAGGAAGGACACCGCCAGCGTGTACATGCCCACCTGCAGATGTGCACACTCGTGCAAATTTTGTCCGAATGTCTGAAACATGTCTGAAATCCTGATAATTTGAACACCTCTAAAAGCTGAGATTCTGAAAACGTATACTGATATTTATTCTACAGAATGTCAGGAATAAGTTTGCCGCTTTCAGAGGTGTGCGAATTTTGATCAGGATTTCAGATATGGTCCTGACATTCGGAAAAAAATTCTCACAAGTGTTAAGACGTTAGAATGAGGCGTCAGGAAGTTAGTATAAGGCGCCACGACGTTTGAAAGAGGCACCAAGACGTTAGAATGAGGCGTCAGGACGTTAGAATGAGGCGTCAGGAAGTTAGAATAAGGCGCCAAGACGTTTCAAAGAGGCGCCAAGACGTTAGAATGAGGCGTCAGGACGTTAGAATGAGGCGCCAAGACGTTTGCGTGATGCGTCAAGACGTTTGAAAGAGGCATACGCCAATCTGCACGGATTTGTGACATTCTGCACACTTATTTGCACGAAGTAGTTCGCATGCTTAGTACACACGTACAGATCTAGGAAGCGGAAGAAGGGGTTAAGTCCAGTTGAATCAGTGACCTCTTATCAGGCTTTCCAGTGAACATGACCGAAAATTTGGTCCGAAAATAAGTCAGGTGAGACAGGTCCCATCCTCTTGCATCTAATTTTAGATGACATTCCCCACCTGTTCTCCCACCTGCAAGGTTTAGGCCTTGCAAAAGTGCACTGTTTCAACTCGACTTATCCCCTTCTTCCGCTTCCTGGATCGCTGACACATTCAGAGTGTGCCTACCACCGTGAGGGAGAACGTGACTTGCGACATCTCATCGACGATGGACGTGACGGCCCCCACGGCCAAGACGGCCACTCCGAGCACGGCCCAGCGCAACGCCAGGCGCAGGGCCCGACCCCACACCAGCACGCGGCGCAACTGGCGGAGAACACAGGCGTGGACCAGAAACCTAGCCGTCTTCAACGGAATCCTTGGTGTCCTCAATACACTCTCATTCCAGGAACGTGACATGACGTCGAAACGAACGTGACAAAATATCACGTTCGTTTGAGGATTCTGTCACATTCGTTTGGGTGTGAATTGGCCAAAAATCAGCTAGTTCACATTCAAACGAACGTGACATTTTGTCACGTTCGTGTCAACGTGATGTCACGTTCCTGGAATGAGATTGTGCACGGCATTTCTCAGAAGGAAATTGTGAGTGTTAAAACCTAAGCACTTGTGTGTGTACGGAGTACACTTCGGTTATCACTCTACAAACTGAAGTGTGTACTCAGTCAGTACGCATCTACAGATGCATACTTATAAGTACACACCTACAGATGCATACCTAGCTGAGTACACATCTACAGATGCATACTTGGCTGAGTACACATCTACAGATGTATATTTAACAGGTATGCATCTGTAGATGTGTACTCAGCCAAGTATGCATCTGTAGATGTGTACTTGCACTGGGCATTTATATGGTGACAAGTACACACCTACTAACATACTTGCCAAGTATGCACCTACAGATGCATACTTAACAGGTATGCATCTGTAGAGATGCATACTTAACAGGTATGAATCTGTAGATGTGTACTCAGCTAGGTATGCATCTGTAGGTGTGTACTTATAAGTATGCATCTGTAGATGCATACTGACTGAGTACACACTTCAGTTTGTAGAGCAGTGCATGGCAAAATCTCAAACTAATTTCTAGTTTACCTTGGCTGGGCTGCCTGTGTCGTGTCGAAGCCCTGGATACTGGCCCAGAATGAACAGGCAAGGGCCTAGAAGTGGAAACAATCCCGCGTCCTGCGGAGCAACGAACTTAAAGTTCGAATTCTACACGATTTAAGTTTTCAAAACCAGTCGGAAGTCTGAAGTTAACAATGGTTTTGACACAAGGCATCAGATGAACGAGAAAAGGGAAGACGTACGGGAAACAAAGCCATGCTAATCGACAACTTTTGCCTATCCTAAACATTAAGGTTCCCAAATTTCGTTTTCTTTTTAAATACCAACGGGATTAACCTGCGTCGGGTGCGGTTGGGCGTCATTTTGGTTATCAGCACCATTCAAAACTCCTACATAAAACGATGGCAATTTGAAATACTTTTTTTGTCGGATTTGGCTCTACCGACATAAGGCTCCTCAGTCGCAGATAAGATTGTAAGTCACTGTGCTTGGCAGCACTACTACTCTCGGAAAAAAAGGAGGGCCTTTCTTAGTAAGACCCATAACTTACATATTTATTTTTTTTGTCTTGGATGATTAGGACCAAGGGGGCCTGACTCTCCTGAACCGTGTACGAGATTGGTGTATTCTGTATTATTTCAAGTATTTTATTTAGATAAATATTTAGATAGATAATTTGTGTCATTTTTCGTGGTTTTCTATCCAACAAAAATTGAACGCAGTTCCAAATAACCACTTCTGTCTCATTTCAGACCCTTCGATTTTACCTGTGGAGCGCTTACCATCGGAGCCAGCTCTCTCTTAAACAGGCATACTGAGGAGAGTTTAGCAGGTTTCGCAGGACGGGCAAAGAGGGATCTTTTGGATACCATCGTCAGGCTGTTCAGCTACGATCGGAAGGCATCGGCTGTCAACGTGATACTTCTGTTTGCGTTGTGTTCGGCTTTTTCTTCGGCGTCCCTCAGTCCGGCATGAAGTGACTCTTACCTCAATAATCCCAGACCGCGCCCTGTAATTTGGAGCTTCCCTAGGTGCCTGCAAACTCCACTTGCCACAAATCATAGAGCACTGCAGGTCAGGGGCTTGATTCTTTTCCAGCATTGCTGCCTGCGATCGGACGGGGAGTCCTCTTTAGACAATGATTAGTGGTGGCACGGAACGAAATTGCAGTGAAGCTGATTCGGAAGATAATGAAAACCGCTGTGAGGGATGTTTTTGGCCCGTCCCGTGTATTTTTTGTAAAAAAAAAAAAAAAAATTACGGAGGGACGGGCATATATGATGCTTGCTGCGCGTCCGTCCGTCCGAGGACTTCCCGTGGTCCGATCTTGACCAAATTTGGTATGCAGCCTCCTTGGGTGACCCTTAGAACCGCCCGGTGGCAGCAAATCCGATCCGAGCCCCGGGGGCGCTGCTGCAGGTGCATCATGGTCTACATGGGGTCGAGGATTTCGGTAACGGATACAGCTAGAAGGGCATGTAGGGGTATTTTTGGAATCAGGACGACAAGACAAAACCAACGGTGCCAAATTCAAGTGAATCGGGGTAGTTTGGACCCGGGTTCAAATCCCAGTAGGGTACATTTTGAACATTCTTTTTATTCGAGTTTTTGCATTGTTTCTGATGTTTTTGAGGGTGCTGATGACGAAAATAACGTCTATTTTGACCCGACTCAGGTTTACACCCCGTCAGGGTTAAATATAGGCGAAATTCGCACATGTCTTATTGTACGGGACGGGCCAAAGTTGCCGATGTATATCGCTACTTTTCCTGTTATTCGGAGGAGTCATAGGTGGCACTGGAAGCACCAAAATAAACTGGTAAAACTAAAGCGTAGTAAACCCTCTGTTTTCAAGCTTGAAATCAAGCGTAACAGTCTCTTTCCCCAAGATTCCCCCTATCTAAATGAATAGGGAAATTTCCAGAGTAAGCTCCAATTCAAGTGTAACGTCTTCAAGCATAACTCTATGATTGACTCAAGCACAGAGTTACGCTTTAGTTTCACCAGTGTGCCTGCAAGTTTTCATAGTTCCATTTTTGAAATTACATCCCGTTTTTCCTTTTTTTTAACTTGCCCTCAGATAGGCCCAATGTTCCGTTTAAATTTGAAGGACTCTCTACTGCCCGATAGGTGCAGTTGTGGTCGTTGCTCAGACATCCGCGCCGATTCAGGGGACAAAGGACGGTTGAGGGAAAGCCCTACCGAATTTGAAGTCGGTTCGGTCATTCATGGATTTGTAGCGGCCCGTCAATGACCCATGATAGATTCGTGACCAAAAATTGATTTTTGACCTTAAGTGTGAACGCGTTCGTACATTTGCTCATAACAATGAGTTATTTAGAGGGTCATTTCATGGGCGTCAAAATGGTAGAAAACTCTCGAGCTCAATTCGGCATTTATTCTACTTTATCTTGCGCGCGCAGTTTATTAACAGAACGTGGGCGTCTGTACTGCAATTAATGTTAACATGTCTTCAATTAAGAACCTGAATTATAGAAACGACTCAGAGAACTAAAGTAACAAGTCACAATTTTCAAAATGCAAGATGGACGTTTATGCAATTAAGTCTGATTTTCGGCGTAATGATTGAAGTACAACAAACACCTGCCTCAGGATCAGGAAGCAAACGACTTAAAAAAGCTTTACAACGATACAGGGCTTTTAGCAAATATAAATTCTCAATCACTCTACAGACTCCACCTTTCTTAATACTCAGTCACTTTTTAACACTCGATCCATGTTATTAGTCTCTCCAAGTGAAGTCCCCCAGGTTGGGATAGGCGGGGCACTCGTCACAGGCCTGGCACAGGACTTTCACCACCCTCTCCGAGTCCGCTGCGAGCAGCGCGTCCCAGACTGCGCGCTTCTGCTTCTTGCACGAGATTTTGCCGTGGGTCAGCTGCTTTATAGGTAGGCCTGGTTCCCGCACCAGCACGAGGCGCCGCAGTGCCACCAGCCCGCACTGGCGCAGCCCCTCGGCCAGGTCCGCGAAGTGCCACTCCGAGTCCCTCTCCGAGACGCACAAGATTCTCAGCTCCTGCAGCGTGGCGGCGTGGGCCTTGGCCAGCGACAGCACTGTGGAGAATGGCCTGAGACCCACCCCGAGCCACTGCAGGCCGCGGTGGCCCGGAGGCAGCGGGGTGAACGTCACGTCCAGTGGGGTGTTGCAATGCAAGACAAGCTTCCGCAGATTCGGCATTTGCTGCACCGACTGAAGGTGTTGCGCGGGAACGTTCGTTACTCGCAGCTCCTGCAGTTGCGGCGGCAGGTCCGGGGCGTCCATGTTGTAATTTAACGGCCAAACGGCCAAATAGCGCAGCGCAGGCATGCCTCGAATGACATCCAGGTGTTCACGAGAGGCGCTTGCTATCCACAGCGGGGCGACGCGCTGAAGCAGCATCCTGCACCAGTTCGGCCGCTTCTCGCAGTACAAGAAGCTCAGCTTTCTCACCTGCAACACGTCAACGCACGCCGGTAAGTAAGCAAAACGGTTGCTTGCATAGCCCGCGTCGAGCAAGACCCCTGCCGACTTGCCCACAAAAAAATCATGAGAATCAATGAAGATCATGACAATGAGGCAGAAACTCCTTCAGGTTCAGAGGAGGTTCTGGCAAAAGCCTTCCTTTCTTCAAAATGAATCACTGAGGAAATTTGAGATACTATGCAGGTATAGAATCTTACTCTTGGTAATGTTCAAAACTTCACATTTTAAGGGGGGACATCACTCCAAAATGATCAAAAATTGCAATTTTTTTTATTCGTTAATATTATAGATCATTCTTTTCTGCGTCGAATGGCGAAAACCGCATTCCGGAATTCAAAAAATTGCAGTTTTAGGAGGTTGTGGGCCGCAGACATGCATAGGGGAAAAGCCCAGTTTCCCCAACTTTGATCGCGTTTTTCTCGGAACATGAAATTGCAAACGGTTGCAGGCCTCTAGGCCGCAGTTTTTGAGCTACAGCGGAGAGATTTATCATGGAAGCTCCTACGACATGCTGCTATAGTGGGTAGCAAAATAATTTGCATTGGTCAATTTTTATTATTTTTTTAAGGGGGCAGTAGCGTCATTTGCACGTGTTTTGACGATTTTCGAACCTCCTGTTTAGACGTTAATATAAAGATAAGTATGAATGCCAGAGACAAACGGCAGGCACCATTTGAAAGATAAAAGTTTTTACCACATTTTCAAAAAAAAATATTTTGTTTTAGCATTGAACTAGGATGTTTTGTGTTCTATGCAAAAATGGTCTGCAAAATTACATGGTGTCACTGCGCGCACGATTGCAGCCAAAGTTTTTAACTTTTTACCAATCGGTAAAATGCATCTGAAAAAGCATGAAATTGCCCATAAAATGACCCTTGGGTTTCAATATTGGGCAAGAAAAACTATTGAAACGCTCATCTTCAACTTAAGATGGAAACGAACCACATTTTTTCTGGCCCAATATTAAAACCCAAGGGTCATTTTATGGGCAATTTCATGCTTTTTCAGATGCATTTTACCGATTGGTAAAAAGTTAAAAACTTTGGCTGCAATCGTGCGCGCAGTGAAACCATGTAATTTTGCAGACCAGTTTTGCATATAACACAAAACATCCTAATTCAATGCTAAAACAAAATATTTTTTTTTGAAAATGTTGTAAAAACTTTTATCTTTCAAATGGTGCCTGCCGTTTGCCTCTGGCATTCATACTTATCTTTATATTGACGTCTAAACAGGAGGTTCGAAAATCGTCAAAACACGTGCAAAAGACGCTACTGCCCCCTTAACGTTTAAAATTGAACAATTTTGACCAAAAAAATTGAACAATTTTTTTTGGTAAGTAACAAATACAACTTAAAATGATTTTTTAAATGTGATTGAGGTACCCACCATAGCCAGACATCTCAGGAAGGCTGTCACCAAATTTCGTTGTTCTACGTCAAACCGTTTGGCGTCCAGCGCTGCAACAGTGCGAAATGGTCTAACCTAACATTTAAAAATGTGTTTTCAGCGAAAGCGCTGTACTGCCCTGGCGGATTGACTTTCTGTTGTTTTGTACTTTATCTGTTGAAATATGAACAATTTATCTCTTTCCGTTAAGTTTTTATGACGTTTTTACAAAAGCACTGTTTTTGGAGTGATGTCCCCCCTTAAGGCACATGCAATTCACTGAAAACAACGAGCCTTTATTGCCAGTGAATGATACATCGTTAAAAAGCCTCTTGTGCACAGTATTTTAATAATGTAAAAGGTGGTCTCAACAGTTTTGACTTGAATTAATTGGCTGAGCGATAGCGAAGCCCTTGCCGTGTTTGGGCGCTCCAAAAAGTGACTGGTCGTGAGTCTGTCTGTCCGTCTCTCTGTCTGTATGTAATCACTCACGTTTCTCAGCAACTACTGAACGAATAGTATCCAAATTTCACACCTGATGTCTCCTAAACATCCTACAGGGGGAGTTTATCTCAGATTAACAATTATCATCGTTTGAAATATTCCAAACATCGTTTTGAACTAGGTAATTAGCGTGGTTAGGTTGGTAGCAGTGTGTGGCTGACCAATTTCTCATACCGGCTGCCGCGCTTGCAAGCCGTCTGCAAGACGGGACGGCACTTATGCAAATAAACAAACTAAAGAGCAAAGGGGTTCTCAAATAGGTTCTGAGATAGTTTTTTAACATTCTAGAATGATTGAAACCCTTCCGGAGTGTCAACAGAGGAAAATACGAAAACTGAATGTGAGAATGGTTTGCGTGTTTCGTTCCCCTCTCCCCCCTCCCCCGTCTCAGGGGAATCTTCCTTTAGGTCAGTGCACTGTGAGTGTAGTTGTGGATTGTAAATAGAATGTTTCCTTTGCCTTTGTGTGTATCCACTGATTTTATTCTCTTTGAAACTATCCTGTTTTTTTAAATTTCATAGTAAATGAAATCAGGTAAATGCGTTGAAATTAGAAGACATGTTAATTGTCTTGGTTTGTCTCGGGAAATGACATTCTATTGCAATGCTGCAAGCTAACATAAATATTCTAGTACTAACATCTATTGATTAAAAGAATCCATAAATAGATGTATTTAGTGCAATAAATAATCCATATATTTAGTGCTAAAAGATTTTGAATTGATGTTGGGTTCAATGACACGATTCAGGTTTTGAGCGGTGGGTGACTTGGTAATTGGATTTAATGACACGATTGCTGTCACTTCACCAAAGTTTGTGTCCGACAACTGGAACCAAGTATTGGTAATGGTTTAGAAGCTGGTTCTCTGAATGTAAGCCCAATGTTAATAGTATACTGTATTCTTTTACTCCAAAGATAAAATATCACGAGGCATGATTAAGGTAAATTATGTTGGCATATTGAGCAACAAGTGGCCTCTGCATTTGACTTCATGAGACGATTCACTGAATTTGACAAAACTTGTTCTCCGTCGAATGCTTCAGATCAGCCTGCCCTTAACTGAGTCACTTAATGTAAACTATGATTACATATTCCAGTCTATATTGTTTAATTCACTGGTTTAAAATGAAAGAATGACAAAAGGCTTCTCAAATATAACTAATAAATTTGTGAATTCATTAGTTGGAAGAAAATGATGTATCCAATAGTGAGTCAAGCAGACGAATAGCAAATTAAGCGATTCAATGCTGGCAATGGAATGTTACTCGACTGAAGGAATCGCATTGGTGTGGCATCAAGGTATTTGGTGATGACAAAGGGTGATCCATGAAGACCAACCCAGACCCATTCTTTACCCATTATTGATCAATTTGATATCAATATTTTTCAATCGAATCTCATATTGATTTTTGGAGTGCTGATTATGAAAACCACTTCCATTTCTACTCCAGACTTATATTTTCATCTCAAATAAGGTCATTTCGGACCAAAATTTTCAGGTCGAGTTTTATATTGTTTCCTGCAGTGTTTGATGAGGTGAACTCAAAAATAACTTCAAAATTTTTCCCAGACTCACGCTTTACCAAATTTTGACCAAATTTGGACCAAAATTCTTGAATTGAGTTTGATGTTGATCCCAGCAGTTTTTTGTGTGCTGATAACGCAAATCACCTCCATTTTGACTCCAGACTTATATTTTCATCCCAAATTAGGTCATTTTGGACCAAAATTTTCAAATCGAGTTTTATATTGTTTCCTGCAGTTTTTGGTGCGCTGAACTCAAAAATGACTTCCAAATTTTTCCTAGACTCACGCATTACCGAATTTTAACCAATTTCGGACCAAAATTTTGGAATCGAGTTTGACGTTGATTCCAACAGTTTTTTGTGTGCTGATAACGAAAATCACCTCCATTTATACCCCAGACCTACATTTCACTCAATATGAGCCCACAAGCTGCACATTTCGTCTACATAAGCAAAGTCCGAAATGCACAAATTCGCATCGCTCAGCCACACTACGCGCCCACACTAAACGGCGCGTACCCCTAGTTTTTAAAAGGTCACCGCATCCACAACTCGAAATGTCCATTTCATTTCTAGCAACAACCTTTGTAAGCAAAAATTGCACTAAAATTTAAGAAAAAACATACGGGGGGTCGGTGAAACTGGACTTTCCCCCAGAGAAACCCCGGTGTTCCCGACGGTCGGACATCCCCCGTAACACACACAAAATATGCACGTTTTAGAGACATTACAGCAGCTTGTCCATTTTAAATGGCCATTTTGACTTGTAGATGCAGGATTCTTTTAAATATGTATCAAAGAAGTGAAAAATATCGAGACCAACCTTAAATGATCAATAGTTTGTTTGATATACAAATAGTTCACTCTTAAAACCTTACGAAGTATTTTGAGCATACATGTAACAAACTAAAATACTTTGTTATACGAAGAAATGATCCAGGAAGCGGAAGAAGGGGATAACTCAATTTTGGCCATTTTTCAGGAGAAACAAAAAACTGTTAGCAGGGAAAACTAAAACAAAACAAATGAATGTTGCAGATGTTAATAATTTCAAAAAGCATTTGTTAAATTTTGGAAAAAAATCAAAAGTGTAAGGTCACTCCGTAGAGGATTTCTGCGACTTATCACTTTCCGTTGAAATGGAAAACAGAGTCAGCTCACCTTATATTTCCTAAACAAAGTGGAATTTGGAGACAAGTCAAGTGGAACAATAGTCTGCATAAAGTGTATGTTACTCTGGTGTATTTTTTGGACTTAGCTCTTTTTTCCAAATTGAAATTTAAAATTAAGGGGGGGTTAAGTTGAGTTGATTCTTTTTACACTAGATTCATAAAAACACAAGTTGAGTTATATCCTTTTGCCAATTTGTCAAACGGACTCACGTAGACTAAGGTTGAGTTATCTCCATTTTCCAATGAAATTTAGACTGTAAAAGGGGTTAAGTTGAGTTATACCCTTTTTCCATGTGGATTTTCTCCTAAACTGCTTGGAATTCAGTCAAATAATTTGG